ACTCCATCAGAGTTCTGGAAAGAAGCCATGACCAATGGAATTCAACTGTATCCTGTGTGAGATAGTTCTCAAACACAGTAGATGGGAGAAGGTCGTACAACATTTTGAATAGATTGATGTTAGATATGTACTGCAGGATTTAATTTGTCCTATAGATATACTACTAATCAGAACAAGGACAAATTGGCTTTAAATTCATCTGTTTCTAAATGTAAAGATAGTTTGATTAGTACAGCAACTAAAGGAATTAGTCATTAAATGGAACGCACGAACATACCTACCAGTATTGCTTGTCTTATCTAAATGAATGAAAATTATGAGTCACGCTAATATAATAAGGTGATAATGTCCTTCACTTGGCATGTCACATGCAACAGGGATAGTCTACAGACATACCGAACTAAATTGACGTGGTGGGAGCTTAAGCAACGATCTGGTTAGTTATGGACATAATTAACATGTACGCCTTTGCATGATGACTCAATGGTCAAGGGATTAAGCTTGAGAGGACGATAACTATAAACTATAGGTTAAATTACCTATGTCGGAGCCGAGGGTAGGCACTTTTGAAGAATCGTATACTAAGCTGAGACAAGTGTCAAGTGTTTACTAGTTATTAGTGGTTGTCTAGGTAAAATATGTTCGTGACTTAACATATGAAAATCCGATAACCTCCACAAACCCTCTTATGGTAATAAATTTATCAATTATGTCTTGACCAAATCACCGAATTTGTTATACTTAAACTTTACTTACTTACTTACGCCTGTTACTCCCAATGGAGCATAGGCCGCCTACCAGCATTCTCCAACCCACTATGTCCTCCGCCTTCTTTTCTAGTTTCATCCAATTCTTGTTCATTTTTCTCATGTCTATCTCCAGTTCTCGGCGTAATGTGTTCTTTGGTCTTCCTCTTTTCCTTTGACCATCAGGATTCCATGTGAGGGCTTGTCTTGTGGCGCAGTTGAGTGCTTTCCTCAATGTGTGTCCTATCCACTTCCAGCGCTTCTTCCTGATTTCTTCCTCAGCTGGGATCTGGTTTGTTCTCTCCCACAGTAGGTTGTTGCTAATAGTCTCCAGCCAACGGATCTGAAGTACTTTGCGTAGACAACTGGTAACAAACACCTGCATTTTCTCGATGATGACTTTCGTAGTTCTCCAGGTTTCTGCCCCATACAGTAGAACTGTCTTGACATTTGTATTGAAAATCCTGATCTTGGTGTTGGTTGACAGTTGTTTTGAGTTCCAGATGTTCCTCACTTGTAAATATGCTGCTCTTGCTTTGCCGATCCGCGCCTTCACATCTGCATCAGATCCACCGTGTTCATCAGTGATGCTTCCCAGATATGTAAAGGTTTTTACTTCTTCCAAATCTTCTCCGTCAATTGTGATTGGATTGGTGCATGCTGCGTTGTATCGGAGAATCTTGCTTTTCCTTTTGTGTATATTGAGACCTACTACTGCTGAGGCTGCTGCTACACTGATCGTCCTTTCCTGCATTTGTTTTTGCGTTTGAGATAGAAGGGCCAGATCATCTGCGAAGTCTAGATCGTCCAACTCCGCCTGAAGTCCTTCTGGGGGCTACTGCCGGTCCCAAGCCCAAATAAAGGAGGAGGGTTGGTCATAGGGTTAGCAACCCCATCCCGTAGAAAACTAACTCGCCAAAAAACGCTAACCAGAAAAAAAATTATTCGAATTTCTTATATTCCTAGTTTAATTTATTGGTTTATTATTAAAATATAATTGTATATGACCATTATTTGATTTAAAAAATTAATAAATTACTTTTCTTCGTTTCACTTAATTCAAGAAACAATCATTTTGCTAGCCGGTCTCGTTTTGGATTTACTTACCGGAAGAGAAAAATAAAAAAATTGTATAATAGTTATTTGCACAAGTTAAGAACATAAATCAAGTGTGTGATCACCAAGTGATAATATATGTAGATTTGTTGAATTATTAATTTTTGCAATGTTTAAGAACTCTTATCTTATAAAAACTCTTCAAATATATGGAAACTATTTGAAGAGCTTACAGTAAGAAAGGAGATAGTGATAATGCTCAGCTGAATGTTTGTAACTTGAAATAACACTTTTTACGTTGATGATCTAATTTCATGTTTCTGAGTTCTTTAGGTTTGAGGAAAGCTGGGTCTCAATTTTCACTGAAACTGATGCGTTAAAATGTCTCAATTGACTTAACTGTTTACAATGTTTAGGAACTGACGTCATGCCAAAACGTCTTTTTAAGAAATGTGCATCTTTCATTTAAGAGCGTTCTTAACGAATCGTTTTCAACTAATTTTACAAAGAAAATATGGAGAACGATATGGATTATATGCTTGTCAAAGAACATATCCAGTGATAAGAATGTAACGTTTCGATCCATTACAATAAATTCGCATTTTCTCGAAACGAAGAAGAAATTCCTACTACTCCCACTTCAGACCGAGGTAAAAGAAATTGTTGATTCATTTCAGTTTCCTTGTGAATGACAAAACAGTGCTTTGAATGGACGACTGACGATGGGTGCTAGTTTGACTGATCGCAAGGTTTCATAGTGGAATAGTTGATTATCGTCGCTCTTTGACTGATGGTAATTGGTTTGCATCTCGTAGACAGAAACTTTGGTCCCATTTTGTTAGAAATATTTTTGCTGATTCTTAAGCAAATAAAAATAGTATTTATTAACGATTTTTGCCGTATAGTACTTTATTTTGTACAACAGAAGCTATTAACTCTGTTGTAAGTGAACTGAATTGTTGAAGCGTCATAAATTCTCTGCCGTTTACTTATCTCCTTGCCCTTCATTATTATGTAAGTTGGTTGGTGTTGATACCAATAAAGGGATGACCAATTGGCTTTGTTTTCAATTCTCTGGAAGAGAATATTATACCATACTCAAAAGAAAGTATTCGACTTATTTATTAACTTATGCTGCTGTACCACAAGTAGGTGTTCTTTTGTCTTTCCTTTCTTCCTAATCTATTATCGTCTATAAAATTTTCTTTCAAATATTCAGATGATCTCACTGTATGTACATCACTTTCATTTTCCTCATACTCCCTTGAAATAAATGAGTACTTAAAACCCAATGAACGATGGTCAACTTTTAACGGCCTTACATTTGGAATTTTGTAAACAGATGACAACAGATTTTTGTCGGATACAAACTATCTATTTCATTTACATCTTTTTCATCACATATTGTCCTGTAGAACGAGAAGCAGTCACACTAGGAACCATATATGTAATCCTAGCTATAAATCCCATGTAACATTGTATCTAACACATCTGCTATACGATGAATATGTTGTAGGAGCTGATCAAACCGTAAACTTATACTATTGAATCTGCTTCCAATTCAATATTGTGTAGATTTTTATCTTCTCACAAATATTTTATATTATCCTAGACAATTTTATTTACATGATGCATATTTACTTTTTGCAATTCATAAGAAGAGTAAAAGAAACTTGTTGAAATATCGCAATCTGAGAATTTAATACTGTATTTAACAACAGAACATTAAATAAAGCGATTATTATTATTATTATTATTATTATTATTATTATTATTATTATTATTATTATTTATTCACAAAATAAGCTTCAAATCTCTCACGATCAGTGTCTCTTGATTTCCAATAATTCTTCGATTGATATCAGTTTTAAATGAAAGCTATTTTTAGAAATTTAGCAATTAAAAAGGACTATTGCTACTAACTTTTTAAAGAACTGATGATATTAAGCAAACAGATACCATTAATGGTACATTCGATTTTTGGTGGTAATTTACGACAATTATAAATATAATTCAAAATGATTACTTTAATGACTCAACCGTTGAAAAATACCATGTTTGTCAAATGTTAAAAGTGAACCGTATGTATCATAATAACCTATCAATTTGCAATACAAATAATCCAGAATTGACGTTACGTTTCACATCGGTAGAAATGATTCTTACCATTAGGAAAAATGAAGGATAAAATTTACTGAATAAGACAACATAAAACGTCCACTCATATTGACAGCTAGGTTTAAATCGGAATACATCGATGGAGTTATTATGTAATGGAGGGGCTATAACGTAATCTTATCTACCAGTCACTTAGTTATATACAACAAAAGACCTGGGACTGACTCAAGTCGTCATATTGTAATAACACGATAAGATTATATTGTCAGGACAAATCTCAAAACAGTAGAATTAGTAATAGAATCAGTAGGGGTTAAATACCCACTAACAACCATTCACGCCTTTGAATTATAAAATATCTTTCTGATTTTAATATACTATCAACACGCAATACGAGTTCTAACTAAGTCTGTATACCTGCAACAAGTAATTCTTTTGAGAAATTGAATAATAGTAAACGATAATGAAATTTCTTAAATGAGAAGAATATATCACACTTTTTTACCAGTAAACAATAAATTTACTAATTTCTTATCGATTAAAGATTACATTATAAAGTCTCATCACAATTTGTACTTCTTAAGTACGGTTAGGTTGTCATCACATAAATGAAAACGTGGAGCTGGATTGTATACACTGACATTAAGCTAAATGAAAGGAATATTGTTGTGAATATACAAATAAACAGACAGAAACAAACAAATAGTGAGTGAATGAGTGGAAGAATTGAGTTTTTAGGCTGTGTGTGGCATGTCTAGGATTAAGCTTTTATTGGCCTTGATACATCATGATATCAGTGTATAAACAATTGTCGGTGTCCTATTTCTAGTTTATTCGTCCACATTTCATTGTAAGTTCAGTGAGAGAGATAGATAGAAAATATTTTAATAGGACACGCTTTTAGATTGCCTCAATTTCTAGACAGCCAATTGAAAAAACCTCGTGTGCACAGGTTGTATTCTTCTCTTCTCTGATTGGCCATCAGACTAATGGTAGACAAACGCAGGATTTATTAATGATAACCTATTGCTACCGGAACTAATCGCCTACGTAAAGATAACTTGTTAGTATCCCTATTCTGATTTGTCAGCTTTGTCTGCGTGCATCATCTGGTGAACACTGTACTGATATCATAACTACTATCATTACTATCATTATCATTACTTTTTATGTTCATATTAGTGTTTTATGCAAATACCTAAAACAACTATCTAGTTCACCCCACTTCCACATTTATTTATGAAATCATTTTTATAATAAACACTGAGACATCATAAAAACTATTTTATTTTTAAAAATACTATGTGTTAGTATCTATTTACTAGTTCTACTACTCTTAATACCATAACTACAACAAATATTGACAAACTTTTGAAACTCTGCACATCTTGAATGGAATAAGCTTGATTAAAAAACAATTATTTAATTATTATTATTGTCGTTGTCGTTCTACATGTCTGATAATTATTAGCAATTTATTCACTGTGCATAATTTAAATCGTAACAAGTGTATTTCGAATGTCATCACATCATTTTATGAAACCGACAAACATTCATTTCAATACAACAATTATTATTGCTACTATTACGACTGCTATTAATATCACTCTTTTTATTTGTTCAATCCATATTTAACACTAACAGAAGCATTTCAGTGTCCAATGTATCAAACAGTATAATTGTATTCGAAACTCCGATGGTGATATTCAACACAGACCAAATGTTTTAACGTATTTTAGCTTCTGTTGAGTTACGATTTTTTTCTTGTACCAATTTTTAATACTGAAAGCAGAATTTAAAAATTAAAATTTTTTAAAAAATCGATAAATTGAAACTAAACTCATGATGGATGTAAGTGGTACTGATCCACGAACAAGAACTGGATTATTTTTATGGCCTTGGGCAAGTTATCCTGCTGTTGCCGCAAATGCTGCTGTCGGTGCACATGCACAACCAATTATGATGGGTGCAAATGCTGGAGCAATGAATGCTATGCCTGGTTCTAATATGTTGAATGTATCATATACAGGTTCTGGATCTGCTACTATACCTGGAATGATTGAAGATCCATTTGAAAGTTTTTGTCAACGATTCTCTTATACTGGTGCACATGCAGCGCATATGTCACATATACTTCCACATCAACATGTTGGATTAAGTGAAACACGTCATTTATCACAAGATCATGAAACAAGTGATAATAATGATGGTAATCGTCATCCAAATCATTCACCATCTATAAATCATACACGTGCACATATTACTTCACATCGTCTGCTTTCTGTTCAACCTCGTGGTAATATTAATCATTTACATCAAGACACTAACAGCACAAATGGTTTAAATGACCAGTTAAACGATCCCAGTAATAATACTAATAGTAATCCAACAGCCGGTTCGAACAGTCATGCTGCAGCGATCGCTGCTTTTGCATCGGCTGCAGCTAATTCTGCTATAATGGGTGCAAATGATCCAACATTAGGCAATTCTAATGGTTTATCTTTATCACATGGTATACAAGTACCGCGTCATGTACAGTCTAGTTTACGAAATTCCAATACAAATGAAATGGTTTTAGATAACTTATGCAATGGTTTTGCAAAACCTAGTCATTTTTCAACTCAACTACAATCAAGTGTAACAAATGCTTTAAATAGGCAGCAATCAGCGATCACCTCGGTGAATTGTAATAAATTACAAACGGATACAATAACTCCGTATAATTTACACTGTCACCATTTGAAAAATCTAGGTAATCCAGCAGCTGTTGCTCTAGCCGCTGCCGCTGTAGTTGGTGGAAGTGGTGGTGGTGGCGGTGGTGTTGTCGGCGGCTGTGTTGGTACAATTGATCATTCACAATTTCAAACAACATTTAACAACGAAATTCGCGATAATTCAACACCTACAAGTAATAAGCATTTGGATGAACAAAGTTCAACTAGTAATAGTAATAATAATAATAGTAGTAATAACACAAGAAGGTCGAATTCAAACAATGATAGTTATTCAATTTCTCATGGACAACAACAACAATTTATGTTTTCACCAAAAAGTCCTCTTTCTGATTCATTGGAAAATCCAAATAAAAGTGAATCAAATACAGGTATTGATCATACAACACATAAATCAACTCGTGGTAATACAAATTTATTGAATAAAAACAACAGTCGATTATTGTCTGGACCACAACAAGATCGGATTAATAATTTAATTTTTAGAAATTCTACTTTAAGAGCTACAGAATGTTCACCGGAATCCACAAATACGATAGCACCAGATCGACATTCATCAGATATGGTCATGGATGATGTATTAACAAGTCAAAGAGAAGACAATAATACAACTAACAATAATGTCACAAGTAGTAATAACAATAGTAATAATGGTAATGTACGAGTAGAATCAAGATTTCTCGGGATAAATCAAGAGGAAAATCTATCAATTAATGGTATATGTAATGGTGAAGGTTCTTTATCATCCATACTGTCTGTTCCAAATGGTCATACTCCATATCATCCTCCAGCTAAAGGTTACAAATGTAAAATTTGTCAACATGTAAGTATTTTTAATAAATGTTTTCCCAAAATTAGGCTGCAATCATGTAGATGATTAGTTTGATTCGTATCAAAGTTTGAAAATGTCTTTTGTTATAATAAAATTGAAGAAATACGTGTTTTTTAAACCTTAGAGCTCTTTTTGAGTTCACTCTAGTTGATAATATTAACATGAGTCATTTACTTACACCATACTATTTTTGTCAATCAGTATTCATTATCTGTTGGGAATTGTTTATGCGTTAGAACTTATGTCTTAATTGATTTTCTAATCAAATAACTAACAAGTGATTACGTAATATGATGCCCAAAATCTACTGTGAATGGATCTTATTTGATTTGACTAAATTTTTTTTCACCAGTAAACTGATGTCCGTTGAGGAAACTTATTGAAAACTAGGGAGTGAATGCTTGTAATTATATTGTCTTATATCAAAATGAAACAGCTATCTAATTCATTCGAGTCAAAGCTATCATGGAATAAGATGGATCTTCACGAGATCAACTTATCTAAAGTAAATTTATTACAATTCTTGTTACCTCACATCCCATTTTCTAGGAAATTTGATCCCCATATAAATGTCTTAATATTCAAGTGAGCATAATGATTGTATGTTTATGCTCAAATGCTAAGTCATTATTGATATGCGTGACTTTTTACATATCTATATAGATAAAATTAGACGTCCGAGAAAAAAGACATTTAGTGTCCAAAATCTAGGTGAATTTCAATAATGTCAATGTTTAGCTGTTTAAATTAAATTTATCAAATCAGTGTAATGAATTAACCTAACTTATTTGATCTGATCTATGTTACGTTGTTCATGTCAATAAATCATTTGTAATTTGTTCCTATTAATATAAAGTAATTAGTGAATTTGATTGATACATACTGTCCTGAATTGAATGGCGTATTCACGTATATATACTGGTCATGCTTATTAACAAACACTTATAATTTGAGTGAAAAATTGAAAGACATTGTACAAAATCATTGATTCATTAATTTTGTAACTACGATATATACTCAACTGATCATGAAAAAAATTTAGAAAACTTTTTTGATCCTTTGATTAGCAATGAGATTTTGTCATTGATTTGTACATTCTAATTCGAATGATACATTTATATGTTGTGATGACTAATTCATTGAGCTAAATAGTTTATTCTAAACTTGAGTGTAATCTTGACGGAAAGAATAATGTTTGATAAAGATCTGATTGAATGGTTTTGCAATGATATCGGATGTTTATCAGATGATTTCTACCTCGTCTTTTTCGTTTGGTTGAGGATAAACTGCCATGAACAGGCACCTTAATGATTTACACACTCGTTACAACTCGTAATTTGTAGATTCAAAATGTAACCCATTAAATACAGTTTAGAAATTTGAGTAGTATCGATTAACTGGGTTTTTATAACATTCTATTATGGGTGACAGTCTATTTACTGTGGTGAATTATTTTGTATATCCCTGAAAAAATACTATCGAATTTGGTATTCAATTGATAATCTAGAGTTTACCGAAAGAGATCGATGGGAATCGAGTAAAACTGAATGAACACTTGTTTGATTATTTCCAAACCATTCAGGGGACTTCATTTTTGATCAATGTAACGGTAATTTTCTTCCTACTTTTCAGTTTGTGATATATATTTTATACACCTAACTTTCAATATTATTTCTGAGTCCCAGTGAATAACAACAAAATATTAGTAACAACAGTTTTTAAGTCAAATAGACTACAAGTCTATTAAGCATTTGTTGATTCCAAATATAGTAATAAACGTAATTATTCAATCAGCATATTTACGATGTTGTTTATCATAAGTTTCATAACAGTTGTATTTTTCTACATCACTAGCCATTGAACACATAATCTACACTGTATTCTACTTTATATCTTTCCTTTGTTCACTTTAAGTATTGTTAAGCATATTGTATATTCGAGTGTATTTATGCATGGTTGTTTATGCGTTCACATACTCTCTCTTCAAATTCAAATAGCAGATATTAAAATGACATTGAGACTGTAAATACAAAAATGTTGATTTTGTAATATCGAATAGAAAACTTCATTGTTAGTTTATTATTTTTAAAAAGTATATACAATCGAATCGACTGTGTTATACATACCTAATCAAGATTTACTCATAAAAAATATTGACGACATATTTCATTATAACACCATTATCTACCACATATAGTCAATGATGAAGGTTTGTGATAGATAACTTTATTATTTTGTAATCATATTAGAAATTAAATTCATTTGGTGCTTGTTTGAATCTTCCCATTGATGTTAAGGACTGTAATTGACTAGTCTGTTATTGGCATATGTACATTCCGTGAGTATTGCCTCGATATTACGTCAAGGCACAAACATTATAAGCAAAGATGGATGGTGGCTAACAATGGAATCCATGAGGTGCGTTTCATCTTATTTAGGACTTGTCAGCTGTATGTACCCACATCTCAGAGTTGATGTTCACTCCGGGATTCGAACCCTATATATATATATATATATATATATATATATATATATATATATATATATATATATAATTCTCAGTTTTGCATAGAAAAAGGAAAGTATTGATATTTATTACAACCAACTATAGTATATAGTACCTCTAAATGCTTACTTCCCTTTTTCTAGAGAGGAAATAATGCTTTCTAATACAGAGAGCACAAAACCATGTAAGGCCTTAAATTCAGTAAGAATTCATTTGGTTTTTTTTTTACTGTTATCAACATATCCTCAGAACATAACGTACATGTTACATGATCGCCACCAGCATCGCCATCATTGTAGTGATCTCATAGAATTTGATTGGTCAATATCAACTTGATTTATACATTAGAAAACTAATTACTGTAAAATAATAACCAATAGACATTTTGAAGGTAAATTTTTCACTACATTGATTTACTACAAAATTATATGTGTTCATTTACATCAATCTGATAGGTCTTGATGATTTTTTATTCAGAAAAAATTTATTATACAGAAAAAATATTTGAGTAAACTTCTAGAGACAAATTTATATGGGTGATCATCATTTGTCTAGAAGATTTCAATCCCAGTGTGTAAGTAGTAAAATCATGTATATATTTATTGGTATTAATTAGACTTGTTTCTTTTGTTTGAGTTTTTTTCCCCAGCTGTTTTCTTATACTTTTCACCCATACTTTTACACTGATAAGTTAGTTTTGTAGTTGAATCAGAAGTAAATTTTAGTCAAGTTGAGTATTCATTCCTTATCTTACTATTAATAGACAGTCCAAGTTTCAACGGTCAGTAATATGTACTTGCCTGATGTTTCTTTCTGTATCCATCTTTATGATTCTATCATAGATACATATGTCAAATTTCACATTTAACAAGGTGATAAACTGCATGTTTGGTTTATTTGATTTTTGTATAATGGCTGAACTACAATTTTGTCTTAAACTAGTTCAAACGTGCCTAAATTTAAGATTAGTGTTGAATTACATGTGTGAAGTGTAGAGTAAAATTTTCAGAGCGTGTTAAATTATATGTTTGTATATATATATATGAATAATGACGTAAGTAAAGTGTCTGAATTTACGATACTATATATATATATATATATATATATATATATATATATATATATTCAAATTGTTAATAACATTGTGTTAAACGAAATTATTTCAGGATCAAAGTACCTTTTCCTGTCTATCTGTGTATATCCATAGCCTTTATTCTTTGTTATAATTATACCTTGTAAAATAAATAAACTTTATATTCACATAATATCTTATTATTTGAAATCTATATTCTGTCACACAAATAAATTTGGCTCTGTATGATATATATATTGCATATAGATTTAATTGATAGCAACCAATTGCTATCTTTAGCGCCTTTATGTTTGTTTAAAATTTATACATTGAATACATTCTATTGTTAATGATTATATTCTCCCTGAGACTCTAGTCTAGCATTGATCAATTCAAATATCCACATTGTTATTGATCATACCATCAATTTTTCAGAAGTAACTAATTGTTCTGTTAGCACAAGATAATATTTTTCCTGTAATACTTCAAGATTCTCTTTTTTGTTTCTCTATAGTTTGAACTATATTGATCACTTTCTGTTGGTATAAACTGATAATGTTTTCAATAAATTTGTAATTTGGCATGTCAATTAAAAATTTCTTGTTATAAAATCTATACTAAGCACAATAACAAATGTGTATTATAATACATTTTTCAAGAAAATTATATATTACAATAAACTTGTAATGACAATTAATTAAACTTATTACAAATATTGTCTTCATGTTACTAAGATAAAAACCGATTGTATTAGTATGGATGTAACTAATGAAGTTACTCAGAATAAATTGTGAATATCATTCACAACTTTTTAATATTGTTTGAGTAGTTTATAAGAACTACCACCATCAAAAAAATGAAATTTAGTATAGATTGTTACTACGACCCAACTGTTTTTCTTTTAAAAAAAGTATTAGATACTTCGTTCATGTATAGTTTTTCGTCTGGAGAAAAAGAAACAAATAGATTTAGGAGCAAAATAGGTCAGAATCCTATTTTGTTTGTTACCTCTAGTTGGAATAGTTATCTGAATGAGAAATAATATTTACTGCATCGAGTTGCTACATTAATGAAGTTGCGACGAATTATTATTTTATAACAGAAACTTATGATCCAGGTTAATATATTTAAGGATGGATTTTCCAAATTAATCTTATAGCGAATAAAGACAGAAGATTATGACGAGTGTGGAATCCAGTGAACCAGAATCAGGACATCGATACCACACAGAGAATATTTCGACTAACAGTCAAGTCACATTCGTGATCAATTAAAATTCCAAACATTTAGATCAAATGAATTTCAATTCAGCGTAGATGAATAATATTAGGAAGCTATTGAGAAAATCTAGATGTTTTGAAATTTACCTAGTGTGTTTTACCCTGATAGTCGTAGATTTTCACTGTTATTCCA